ACAGTATTAAACCACAATAAAAGTAACAGCTACTACGTAAATAATAGCAACAACAACTTCTGCTATTTCTTGAGCACTTCATGTCAATCAATTTGCCCACCATTTTATGTGCATTATATCATTTCTCATGAAATATAACAGGGTGAGTGGGAAGAGTAGGATAAGGAAACAAGAGAAGCAAACTCACATAAGTGGCTTAGGGTATTAAAGATACTAGCAGTTCTTTAATTTAGAATCAGTATTTCTTGATTGCAGGGAACATATCTTTCTACAGTCTGAGAAATCTGCTTTAATGAAGAAAATAAATTTAAAATTTATGAATGAATACCTTTACAAAATATTTCAATAAAACTTCTGAATAATAATGTGTGCATATATATAGCTTTTCTACAAATTCAGAGTCAATGGTTTTCAAGTCACTGAGAAAATAACTGCATTATAGTATATGAGAACATCACAAATCTAAAAAGTATTCAAAATTTGTTTGATAGTCACAGACATTGAAATCACACTGAGTAAGACAAGGACAGGTATAATAAACAGCATAAGGGATGCTATATATCTTTCACTATTGAGACAGAGGATTTGAACAAAACTTAAGGATTTGAAGTTATATGACATGTCAACAACTCAAATTCTATACCTTCTATTAAGGCAATTACTTGTTTTTGGTATTTGCTGTCAACACACGGATATTCTACAATATTACAGACTTTCTCACAGAAATGTTTTAGTGTGGTTAGTATCTTCTGTTTGATAAGAAAAATGTAATTTCTTTTTTCCATGTTTGTACATAAATGAATGTATTTTATTTTTAAATTGTATTCAAATCATTCAACAGAATGTTCTATAGTCAAAAATATTAGTTGTGATATCTAGGAAACACAGGCAACACAGAATGATATTTCTCTAATGTCTGTCCTACTCTGTTTCAGACATTAATAAAAATTTAGGTAACTTTTTGACATTATGGGATATAAATTTCCTTTTTCCCCTTTGCTTGCAGCTAACTGTGACATATGATCATTTACTGACTAATGGTATAGAAGGAATGAAACTCAGTAAGACATAAAGGAAATAGATATGGTCTCCTCTTTGTCTTGGCTTCTGTTTCAAAAGCCCTAATGCAAGAATGGTGATCCTTGATTACTGATTACAGATGTAAATGCAATATCCTAGAGTATTACAGAATAGAATGCAAAGTAGACTGTGGGTCCTGGATAAGGACGGATTTAAGCATATTTAACTATAGAGAATTTAAGAAAAATAATTTTGAAAGATAAAGAAACTTGGTTCTTGCTGGGCGGTGGTGGCGCACGCCTTTAATCCCAGCACTTGTGAGGCAGAGGCAGGCAGATCTCTGTGAGTTCGAGGCCAGCCTGGGCTACCAAGTGACTTCCAGGAAAGGCGCAAAGCTACATAGAGAAACCCTGTCTCGAAAAACCGAAAAGAAAAAAAAAAAAGAAAGAAAGAAAGAAAGAAACTTGGTTCTTACCTAACTCATCATTACGTTTTTATTAATGAAACAAAATGTATGACACATCTAAAATATAATGATAATATAAGTTTGTAGGAACTGAAATTTCAATATAGAATCTACTTGGGAAAACTAACATTTAAAAATTAATTCCTGGCCGGGCGTTTGTGGCGCACGCCTTTAATCCCAGCACTCGGGAGGCAGAGCCAGGCGGATCTCTGTGAGTTCGAGGCCAGCCTGGGCTACCAAGTGAGCTCCAGGA